GAGAGCCATCAGGCCAATGCTATGAGGACTTTCGTGGCACTCGTGTACAAGGCCAAAGGCATCCACCACACCACGTCTTGAGGGCGGTTCCTTCTAGCACCGCCAAGAAACGGCGTTAGAGAAAACCACAGACCCTGCGACCTGTTACGTTTCAAACTTCACTAGTATTTCCTTGGACAGGCAATATGGAGTGACCCCTCACTTGATCTCTTCCAAGTGAAGTCCAGGAAATTAAAGGAGGTTTTTCGCCCATAGTTCTAGTTGATGCTTACGTTAGCAAATGACCAACTAGTTCTTTCTATTAATGGTTTCACTGACGTTCTACCAGCTTTAGCTTACGGTCATTCTGTTCAGTGTTGGTGTCGTTTACTGGAATCGGCTGGGGCCACCAACCTCGAGACTATCTAGTGTTCGGTGGATGACGCCGAAAGAGGATTGTGGAGCCTATCCCGTAGTACTCCCCATCATCCAGTTGTTCACTACTAGTATTGCGCTGGTTGAATTTTGATTATCTTCCAAGTAGCTCGGACTAATACTGTTTGGCTAACGTGGTTTACTGAAGGTAGCTTACTGACACAATTTTTGTCGTTCCACTGGATTCCTGAAGGAAACCGAATTCTTTTAAGTGCAGCTGACTAAAGCAGCATTCCTTAAAGGTAGAGAAGATAGTGAAAATTTGCTCTCAATCAGCAAATGCACTTCGAAAGAAAACAAATCGCTCGACTAAAGGACATGAATACCCAGATAATTAAACTTAACCGCCTATCGACCCCAACATTGTACTGTCCTTCAGGTGTCGCTGAACCTGATTTCAGTTAGATGCAGTGTGATCTTGGCTCAAGTGATCTGAGAGTGAGGACCACCAGTGAGTACCGCGAGACCAAGATATTTTCAGCACTGGCTCATATATGATGAACTGATAGCATATATCGTCTGGTTTGTTGCCCATAGAACCTCTTAATGAACTCGAACGACTATATGTCTGCTCTTATGGTTGATGAATTCATTTGTTGTGAATGTGTTCCAACGTGATTGTAATGCACTGATTTTCCCACATCAAAGGTCGATCAACCCTACTGGTTTCACTTCGTCAATGAGAATGTGTCCCTTTAATCCAAGCTACCGAGCAGTGAACGTAAGTGGATTACTGCCAGACAACCAGGCGTGGTTGATTATGCGAAACATTCGCGAATGAGCCAAGGTAAGCGTGGATAACAATCACGATATTTTTTGCCTGCATAATTTATTTCCCTCCGCAAATGCGCGGATATTTCGTCATCCTAGTTACTCTCAGTGAGAGGGCATTATTTCTATGTCTTTGTATGGACTAAACGAGAGTACGCAGTATTGCTTTCGTGGGTCTTTTGAAACGCCCAGATTGCTATTCTGAATCCGTCAACACATGGTTAGCAACAATGTACCGATGTGGATATAAAGGTACCCGGTTCAACGTAGGTCATGCGTTTGCCTTAGGAGGTAAACTAATGGACTTCTGGCTTCAAGTAGTCGTTCTCCTCAGTAGAGGTAAAACATTTAGAGCCTCAATCAATCCGGCACTCAACTGTAGGTCGGAAAACTGGCTGATTTCGGATACCATCAGTACCCTCGGAAATCGCAGTGTTCTCAAACCTTCCGAGAACGGGCAAATGGAAGAACAACTGTTTGTGGATGTTTGGTTGGAATTTGGAAGGCAATCTATGTTGAAAACCGAGAAGCACTGTAGAGCAGTTTCATTCTTGTTGGGAATCATCAGCAGTGCACACCTCGATAAATCCAATTGAATTTTGAATCTGCTACCTCCCGAACTTAACCGATCGGCCACAAGCTACCCATCATCAGTCATCGAATTTATATCGCATCGTTACGTGTTGACTGGCTCACCGAGTGACGGCTTCTTAAACGGAATTTTCACTCGTCGTGTGAATCATTCTTCCTATAAACTAATTACAGTTTCCTGCGGATTATCATCAGTTGACTCGCTACATACTACGTTTAAATATATGAGTCTAGAGGCATGTACACATACAATACATATACTGCAATATGAATATACATAAAAACAAATAGTCTCATTCAGTTATCAATGTACAACGGAAAGTCTATGTGCTGCGTCCAAATCATGGCTGACCCACCAAACTCTGATCATGTTCTGACTTGAAGGGCAACTTAACTGGGTTTTCCGGTTTATCTTATCAGATTTGTTCACTAAGCGCTAGAGCAAGCTTCGCTTCTGTTTTACTGGCACAAAACAGCGGGAAATGGTTTATAGCTTAAGTCAACTTTACTTGCATCACACAAAACTCTCCCTTGTTAACCTTCAAGATACAGCAGGTGCGTCACAGTTACTCACGTTGCTCACAGTCCATCAAGTAAATACGTATAGAGATCTACGGGGTTTCACCTAATCCTGCCAAAACTGTTCATCAGCACACCCCCTGGGTAGATGAGGCCACTTGCATGAGATAAAAATCCACAGATGCTGCAAACATAGAAGACTAGCAAGATATTTATGATTGTAAAGTGAGCCACGTGAAACTGTTTGCATCAAGGGCTAAATTCCGGATGGTCTGAAATAACTTTTAGACGATCGAGCAACTGATTTGGATAAAGAGTCGAAAAACCCACGAAGCTCGCCTACCTATTCATCCAATATTTTCAACAAGCAAACTGCCCCATCCCTCATTATCCAAATTGTTTATGAACTTGCTAAAACCAGCCGAACAAAGTCCCTCTGCGTACCACTTAAGCGATATCTGTGTTTTCGATAGAAGGTTTAAAAATGTGAACAGGTGAGACAAGTTGAAGCCCCTATTAGGCTGTTCATCGCTCTTTCGTACCGTTCCTTTAGTCGTACTATTCAGCTTTCTTCCTGACTGCTTAATTGCGGAGTTCACTAAAACCGTGTTGTCCATACCGAAGCCACAGGAAATGTTCCTACATTGTCTTTTTAACATTCCATTTCTCTCTACTGGATTTCGTACGGACAAAAGTGCATGATTACCATGAAATCTCTACTCGGCTTCCTACTAACTGAAGCATTTGTTTTTGTGTTGGGGCGAAGATAACTGTAAACACCTATCAGAACCACGGATCGTCAACAATGTAGATGGCATTTTCGGTGTGCTCGCTCTCGACGTTGTCCGAGACAGTCAGGTGGTCGCTTTCAACAGTCCAATCCTAAAACGAAACTCACGAAATTCCCGGATGTTCAACTGAAGAGACTACTAGATAACATACCACAGCACAGAGTACACTGGAGAGATTGACTGGTATATCAACTTCCACAGCTTCGTGCCATTCAAGTGGTGGCTAACTTGGTAACTAAAAAACGTGGTGGCCACGTAAGGTTTGCTCAGCATCAACATCAGTTGAGGCGTATATTGTAGGGATTGTGTTTCTTCTCTGGAAGAGTTCAACCGTGCGCAAAACAGAGCACTTGCAACTCCTATTGAAGAAATATCTTCAAATAGAGGGGTTCCATAGGAAGGAAGCACTTGATGCGAGCACCTAGATGGAACAAAACAGTGATCCTTTATTTCTCAATGTGAATTTATGAAGCGTCACGATCGGTATGGTGTAGAACTTCCAAGGGTGACTCTTACAATGACATCAACCTCCATCATCACTGAGGAAACTAAGGGTGGTGCTACAGCAAGGCTGATGGGTATTTCATATGGAATATAATAAATAGCATGACTTCGAACGCCGTTTGGGAACCGGACCATCATCAAAGCATATCGACTTAGAATCAACGCACTACATGCAAGAACTGACTCACCTTGTGTGCCTGACCTATAAGCACGGGAGTGTGCGGATCGTAGTCCGCCAAAAGCAACCGCAAGTTGTCAATCAATGCGTAAGTGTCATCGTCAGCCTTGTAGAAAAAATCAAATTCTTCACCAAAATGCGTCCAAACATAGTTCAAAGCAAATGCTGTTTTCTCCCATAGGTAGGAGCGACCTTCCCTGTTCACTGCAGCTAAAAAAGTAGATTGGACAGTCATGACTCAGTTGTAAGGACTATGCTTGGGGTACAAATGATATATGGTTAACTGGCATCAGATTCGGACTCACACGTCACCAACAGTTAACCAAATGGATATCTAAGCATAGTGAAAATAAGGGTTCATGCTGAGCCTGACATGTGACACAAGCTTGATGGAATAGGCTGGAAGAGAGCCAGAAGCCAGCTTGCATGACTTCATTTCAGTTATCATCAGTATTTCGTTTATTAATGTCGTGGTGACTGTACCCGCTTTCTAATACTAATGCGGCTAGCTAGGGTTCCGAATATGTTTAAGACAGAGATTAACATCTTAAGCGTGTGACGTTGGTTCGATACGCTCCTCTCTACGAATGTGGATGGGCGATGACCTAGAACCAAAAGTACTTTCTTAGAGAATTCCTTCAAAGCACGTCTTTGGTATTGATGTCCCTGTAATTGTTTCTAACTTTCCAACCATTTGGATACAAGTTGTGTTCGGAGGTGAATTACTGCAAATGTTCGAACGCTTCTTTGATCGGGATGTTCACGAGTCAACAGAGTTTTGTCTTCAAAAGGACTTAGACGACTGATATTCAAGTTGTTCAATTGATAAGCACGCTTAAGCACACACTCCATACGAGAACTGTTCAAACGTCGACCGAATGGAAAGAATGTGATGTCATGCGACAGTGTCTAGGGGCAAATGGCGGCCGCTCCGGACGAATGAAATTCCTTCAAATATAACGCCACATTTAACTCTTCTTGAACCGCTGTATTGAGGATTACAGTGCTTTTCGTATAACGGAAGCCGAGGATCATGCGATTCCGTTGGTCTCACTCGAGTCGATTAAAGTACTATGTTCTACAAAGCTAGTACTCTCGCCAACAACCCATTCGACCATATCGGACCGAGGGTCGATTGCTAAAGGAGTGGGGTATTGATAGGCAGACGCACAAAGGCGGACATCAGCCTCCGTGGTCTAGCTTCCAGATATGATATGAAAGCTCTAGTCAGCAGTCAGTAGAGTATGATTAGCAGCTTCATGCAACAGGAGTGTTTCAAGTTAAAAAGGTAAATCACTTTTTGAATTATGACACGCCTACGCAGAGGTCACTCAGAGTTTGGGAGCGGCCATTCTTTGAGGGACCAGTTTGACTACTATTTCGAGCTTGGTAGGAGTAGAAAACATCGCTCGCAACACATAACCGCTACATTATAGCAATGAAATTTTTATTTTCACCTAATATTTCTCATATTTCTAATATTTCTCATATGTTAAGGTGAATACCTCAGATATGTTAAAGTGATCCAACTCTGTGATGTATACACACTGATGCAACGTGCTAAGACCGCATAAGGATCGCCGAATCGGAACAATATGGGACTTCATCAGGATGTTGCATTTCACTGCAACATATAAAACAGTTATGGCGAACAGGAATGTCCAGCTGTAATGTACATCTAGTGTGCTGAAAGAACCCTATTTTTCGGCAGTCAACGCTTCTCACCTACTTGTGTCTCCCCGTTTGGAGAGCTCATAACAATTTATGTGACACAGAAATCCACCAATTAAGTTCGTTCAATTCAGTCGGAACGATTCGACGTTGGCCCGCCTGTTCAACAGTTCCTTGAAATCTGCCAAAACTCTCAACCCAAACACGTTTTTGCACTGATCTGTTGACGAAATTATTCCCAATGTAAAACATGTGAATAAACGCTGTGGGTACTCTCGAGCGGGGGGAACGAAATTTTCGCAATTCGTTAACTGGAAGCTTGTAGATGGAGGACGGTCCCTATATAATACAATTCACTGCTCGGACCAAGTATAAGAAAACTCTTTGACCACAAGGTGATCAACAGTGTTATTGAACCCGATCCGAAGCAACTAAATCTACTGGATGATCGCTCTGTACCAACTGACCTTAAGCCCAGTTCCACTGGTCTCTTACCGTTTCCAGTGGGTCGACCACTCTGCCGACATGGTTCACTCCATTGCAGATAACCCCAATTGTGCTTTACATACGGAGGTTGTCCCCGCCTCCAGACAATTGAAACATACATGAGGTGATATGGTTGGTGCCGTCAATCCACACTCGTTCGTAATGGTAAACATAGGTGCCCACCGGTATTACCATTCCCGCTACTCCCACTCAAAACGGTGGGTGGGCCGCCTTGTTTCCTCACACTCTATCGTCCACCAAACGCACGTGGTGCTTGAAACTCCTGGGAAATAGGGCCACTTAATTATCAACAGATCACATCAAACTTGTTGTAGACCAACTGCTTATTGGTTTGTGTATGACGACAAATAAAGTTAATAACCCAAATGACAAAACACTGCGCTAGAAAATTGCACTCTGTCGAACCATTACGTCGTTCAGTACAGAACAGAAAAAATTAGTGAATGATGCACCATCCCGTAACTTAGAATAATTAAGTGAGACTTTGTCGCACAGATGTCATATAAATACGTTTAAAAATCCCTCAGCTGTCTTTTGAAGATGTCCGTTACGTGTCATCAAGCTGTCCAGATGTTTAGGAATAACTACATTATCCCACTGATCATAAACTCGTGAACTACTCAATTCCCATGGATGATTAGTGCTGGTTCTAAAAGGTCTCCTCCGTCCAGCTCTAGCAATCGTTAACTTCTTTCTTTGGACGTCGAGTGGTCAATATTTTCTTTTGTTTGTGCTTGTCGGGAAATGACTTAACAAAAAAATAGTCGGCCGTTTTTGTGAACATTTTTCCTTTTTGGAGTGTTAGTCTAAATATTCCATTGTGTCGACTGAATCCCAAAACCAACGTCACAATAAAAGTACATCTACTAGTATAACAACAGGTCACAATCCAAAATTTGGACATTTAAATGGCACCGTTTTGGAGTAGATTGCTTAATCATTAAACCCCGTAATCCATCTCTGTGGTATCCGAATCTGCCCCACTTGAAATGCTTCACACCCTAGACTTTTTAATATGCGCAGCGACCAGTGTGACAACCCACGAACACCGACACAATTATGACTAGGGTAACTCTGGCACGTTAGGGGTCAGTCGCGATAAGATGAATGTTCGGAATGATGTCCATAATTAGGTTTTGGGTCCCATCCCCTATACGCGCACGCTTGATTCCCGAGAAGATATGATGAAATTGTAACCATGCGTTCAGTGGCTCCGATAGTGGCCGGGGTGAGTCGAAGTCGACCGAACGACCATTCAGTGGCTGTCTCAGTCAGAGAGAAGCACCCTGTCGACCAACCTTTTCGTATTTCCCTTAAACTAAAACCACTTTCACCTTGAGAACAGACGAACGTTCAGACATTTGTTTCACAACAATAAAGGGTGCACCTGTAAAATTCACGTCCCGAAGAATCCTGGCAACGATACACTTACTAACCATGTGAACCTACACATCACTTCACTTACACACAAGTTTGATGTAATTTTTTAACCAGGACATTATTCCCTGATCATCGACCTTGTGTATCACTCTGAATTATGCCGTATCCGCACTTCGAAGTAAGGTGATCCAGTAATTCTTTCGGTCAAACATCGTACCAATTGAAACAAGAAGTGGAATGTGTTCAGCACTTTCATCTGAAGAACATCATAAACGAGAGATTCAGCTTGATCCCCAGTCAAAACTGAACCGGCGAACAAGTGAAGTTACTTCGCAAATTTCGTGCAATTTAAGTTCACGTAGAACACAAGGCTGATCAAAACTCGGGGACAACACCTACCGGTTATGCTGTATAAGGGCTTTCAGCAACCTCATGAGTAGTTTCCTCCAAGTAAATATACTGCGATATCTCGGATATTATACCAACTGAAAAATAAGGTGGCCTGTATGAATAAATTCAGCTGAGCAATATCATAATTGATGGGTTCGGTTTGGTTCATTTGAGTACTTTGGTAACACCAACCCCACTCACCAGCTGCGTGCAATTTGATGTTCATTCACAACACACACTTGACTGAAACTCAGAGGGCGAAACCCTACGCCACCAGAAAGCAGCATACCTTCATAGTTTGATTTTTATTTAATTTTTGAATACAACAGCAACGTTACCGAAGCAATCTCAATAGTCTTCTTCGAGTTGTATTTTCACTTCTTTCAATTTTTATCTACCATAATCTAGCCAATGCACCGGTGTTCCTAAAGTAAGATCTTACTTGTGTTAGTTCTGATAAAGGTTTGTCTGATGAAGTCATTGCACGATTCTCAAAAATCCAGATCACGTTTGCCAATTTGCGTCACTTGTGGCACCAAAATGGCATATTACTGGGTCTCAAGGTGCGCGTGTATCAATCACCGTAATGACTATATTGTTGTATAGTTGCCTCTGATGACATATGATGTGAGGCATCTTCAATTTCTGAATTGCCGATGTTTTAGGAGCATTGCTGGTGTCGGATGGCAGCAGTGAATTTGTGGCGACGTAGTTAACTATGCGACGTAATCTCATATTGTCGCCAGGCATTTTTGATTGTGTTTGTTTGTCTACCTGCCTGCTCTGACAGCTCATGCCATACGGATGAGTCAGTCATCTTTGTGGCATGCATATGCAATCGTGTCGTCGGTATGAGAATTGTAAGACGATGCACTGAAGTATCGCGAACACTTTATGACTAAAACCCACTATCCTGATAAGGCTGTCAGCTGTGGACCATCACAAAGTTTGGAGATGAGAACACCAGTACCTGGATAGTAATCATCTGAAAACGTTCGAAACCGTCTGACATGTAAATGTACCTTCTCACTCGGCGTTCGCTTCTCCCACACGATCCGTAGTCCCGGAGGAGCAAATTAAACCGAAGATCTTCATGTAGTGTACACACAATGTATGGACCAGGTGACACTCCACACTGTGAATTAATATGCCCGTGGTTTCTGCATCGTAGGTTCTGCCTTGGTTGTGGCAGACAGAAGAACACTGAAGTCATTCTGATTCAAATAAAACGTTCATAATCCCGGCGGAACGATACACAGTGACCGGTCTCGAATGCAAACTTAGTAAAAAAATATTACACCAGAATATGACAGATGAGCGGTGCAGTGCGAGTAGTTCTATGACTTGACGTCAACTCCTGCAACAGTGTGACGTAAAACAAATAATTTTCATCCTAGACCGACACGTGTTGGCTACGAGAATGAAACCATGTGGAATATCAAGCCGTCACAACAAGTGCAGGGCTAGCTGCTGTTCATGCAACACCTCATTGTGTGGTCTCCGATACTGGGTACGCATTGTTGTGATGTCATACTAATGCGTGGTGCTAGTAACAGTGAGTACTGATTGGCTTGAAAGCATAGTGTTACTACAACGGCTAGAAAAACCGTTGCGTTTATTAAAACATCATGTACCTTTTATTCTGAAGGGGAAATAGGGACAACCAAACAAATGAACAAAGTCAAACCCGTTTTATGTCGACTGGTTGACGGGTTTGCCCAAAAGCTATCCCAAAAACACATATATGGCCCCAGTGTTTAGTCAAGCACTGGTTCAATTTGATCAATAAAACAGTGGTCACAGACGTCACTACAACCGTCGTCACAGACACATTTCTAATTCAGCACATGAAGTCGTGAAAAAAGCTGTGGTTAGAAATCACCAACAGCTGAGTGTGATAAAGTGGATGAGTCTGGAGCAACAAGGTGTTTTCTGTCCTCCTTACTTTTTTTATCAAAATGTCGCAACACAGAGGCAACATTGATTCCTGAAATTATGAGAGTATTCCTCCTCGTCTTCTAGAGCGATTCTGCCCCCGTAGTGCCTGATTAGCGCCACCGTTGGTTAGCATTACCGGTTCTCTTACACTACGAGTCAATTACGTGAGTAATTTCCAAACTGACTCAAACGGAGAAGCACTGCTGCGAAATTGTATTAAATACTGTGCTTATTTTGTAAGGAATCCCACACAACAACCAAAGTGGAGCAGTGATAAAACAGTGATAAAAAAGAGAACGAATTACCAACAGCGGGTAGCTCTGGAAGATCTACGCTGCTCATGAAGAGATAGCGATCGCATCGGGGTGCCCAAGTTGCTTTGATGTGAATAGCTTTAGTGCCATGATTTGAGGGCATTGTAGTTATCCAGCAGAATATTTTGACCGAGCTGTTGACTGAAAACGACAGGTGATATCATGTTATAAGTCAGCGTGTAGTGAAGATGCAAATCATCTATTCAGAAAGACAAACCTTCCAAAATCCCGTTTCATGTTATGAAGACAAATGAAACCGTCATTCCTAAGGCCGGCGCAAGTAGATACAATGGCAATTAATAAGGCGACTTCTGAGATCAAAAGTAGTAAACGTTCTCAACACGGGAGCGGCCAGACAGCTACACTGACTGTTCATACTTTTTAGGCATGCACAATGATTTCTCAAATAATTTGGAAGTGTTGTCATCAGCACGGTACAGTGGGTCACAGAAAAACAGAAAGCATCATAACACATTACTGTCTAGTCTCAGCGAGAAATGGATCATGAAATTTTACATTATTGTTAGTGCACACGGCACTATAGGATTTGGTTCGAGTGATTTCCTCTGTGTCTGATTGCAGACGTTGCAAGAGATGGTTGTCAATCGATCTCATTGGCGTTCACGCTGTCTGGTCCTATCCCGAGCGCTTGGAAGAGTGTCTCCAGATGTGGGCATTTAGGGGGTTATTGTGGTTGGCTAGTACTATAAGCCTATCAAACAAACTTTGGTTGTTCAGCAACGGAACGTCAGTGTTTAAACACTGATATGCTGTCGATGGTGCTGATGATGACGGTAAGATCGTACCGATTTTTACGGGCTCAGAACAGTGACGTCGGGCAGTAAGACCGCATCAGCTATTTACAGAAGTTGTACCTCAGCAAGATCCAACTCCCGCGCAATGAAAATAATCTTTTACAGCTTGTAACATCGAATTTGTCTCAGAATGAGCCCAATAATTGGTCTGTCGTTTTCTTTAAAAACACTGAAATAGAAAATATTACGACGTTCAGAGATAATTAGGGGTGGAATACCAGCAGACAATAAATGCTATGAATTCTGTTTACCAACTGCAGTCTACAGAGTCGTATACGAGCAGTAGCTAGTAGTTTATTATGACTAGCAACCGGGGAACCTGCAAAAATTCAAGAGAAAAATGTCAGTAGTTTAGGAGCAGGAAACATCAAACCAAACGACCAATCCTTTCGTGATGCTGAGCGGTGAAGCTGAATCCCTGCACCATAAGAACTGCTGGTCTAGATCCCATACTATGATGGAATGAAAACCTACCGAAAAGGCAAAAACACTGGAATGAACAGAACGCAGAAATATGCAACAAAGCTTACCGCTCACCTGGTCCTGAAAGTTCGGGAGCCGGTTTCACTGATATAGGTATCCGTTCATAATTAAGCTCCATAAGTAGCATGACCAGTATGCTTCCAAAAAGTGCACCGAATAGGAAAACTTGTAGTTTTGTCACGTTACTACCTATATCAAAACTCTTAATGAATAAGGATGAGAGAAACATAAATAAAGGTGTGTCAGAAGGCGATCTAACACAGTCAAAAATCATGTTAGCAAAAAGACAGTGGGATAAGAAAAGGTATTCCATAGCTCATATTTGGTTAAGGAATGACCGGCACGTTTCACGGAAACACCTGTTTTGTAGAGTGTGAGGGCCTCTAACACAGTGCTAAAGACTATCTGGAATTCGGATTTTTACATCAGAACAATGGAGTATATCTACGCTCCAGGTGCACGACCCATGGGTGATAAGCTGTCTCCCCCATTCCTGACATCATCGTCATCATCATAACCATGATAATCTTTCACCACCAACACTAAGTTCATTATCATAAACAACAACATCGTTGTCGCCATTAGCTTACCATCACCGTCACCATCAAAGTCAACGTCAATACAACCATCATCATCGTCATTATCAATATCAGTCGGGCAGGCCCAACCTAATCCGTAGACCTCAACCAACACCTATCAGTCATAAAAGGCCGTATAATTTTGAGCTGGGTTGCTTAGATGAGAAATTACAAATTTCTGACCATTGGAATTGATTGCGGGCTATCTTGTCGGGGTTTCGAATGGCGTTCGGGTGGTAAAATGGAGCGAACAGTCCACAGCACTCAACTCGACAGCGATCGCTTTTACTCTTATGGTTTTTACTCCACTGGGCTTTCGGCACCTTGGATTTGATTTGGGGAATGCATCTTGTCCTGACAAAGACCAAACATACCAACCAATCTAGGTTCGGAAGCTTTACCTCCAATTCCAGTGAGTTCAGCTAACTAACTGGTCCTTGATTACGGATCACTACAACAGGCAGCCAAAGCATGGTACGCCACAAAGACATTGGAGAAAAGATTATTGAATTCGCCTGAGATGTTCGAGTAGAAGAGGCCAGGTCTCTCATACTTGAAGTAAGATTGTTCTGATAGTTGTTTAGAGGACGAGTCCCTTTAGGTCAAGACCACTTTTGATGATAAGAAGAACAAACAAGGCATGAATGCGCGCGCACAAATTTCATTTTCTGCGAAATCTAAGGCGGGGAAACCAAGCAATAAACTCAGTTTTCCCATCCTGAGATGTGAAACGGAAAGAAGCTGGTTGCCGTACTAAAGTAAAACTTTATATTTCAGTAGTAGGACGTTTGATTGCCACATGCGAAAACAACATCGTCCACATAATGCACAAGAGAACTGGCCTTTTTCTAGAAGGCAGTTTTGCGCTATCCATATGGTCGGTCCATGAGAACTATAATAGCGAAAACACGGAAACATGGGGACAAGCGGCTGGAAGAACAGCCATGAATATATTCAGAAAAGCCGACCTGGTCATACGGTCGAAGGCTGCTTCGAAGCCAAGCAAAACTGCACCCGTTGGTCTGCGGTATACGCAACGCTGCTGAAACACTTGATGTAACTGAAGATACAACAGACACATCCTTGCCTGTTCAAAGTTCTTCAGAGTGATTTCTAATTGACCTCTCATACAGATTATATGCCACAGTATTATTAAAGACAGAACTCGTCTTATCACTGGGTTATACTTTTATGGTGGGCGCGTTTACACCGTTCAGCTGTAGCACTTTCGATGCTTAGTTGCCATGCCACACGAAAGAGGCACGAGGGCTGGGATACTGCCAGGTCGCCCAAGCCTAGACAGGGGAAGTCGAGTGGCAGAGGTCGGGTTCGAACCACGGACCTGCCGGTCAGTGAATACGTGCTCTAACCACTTGGTCCATCTCGCGGGTTTGCCTCTGGTGTTTTCTTCTATTAAAGCGGCGTGATTGATCGGGCTGTTTTTGGAACGCACTTTTGTTAAATGAATTGTTGAGTGTAGAAACTAATTTCCATATCAGCGCTTAGACATCGCTCTTGGAAGTTGTACGTATCCTCCGACTTGGTGGCGTTCCAAGCAAGAAAGCGAGTGGGACTCATGGATGACAACTGGAGTTCCCCTGGTAGTACGATGGACATGGGTAGAGGCAGATGTCCAACTAGATCAATATTGAAAACAGTCAATCTTCAGATCCGGACGCTGGTCTCTATCAGTAGCTCTTTTCAACTGCAACCTTGACTAATGTACTAATGCCTGGTTTCTTGAAGCGAAACGGTTCACGGATACTGTAGCCTTCAAAAGCCTTGTGCATTTCCGCAGCCTTTAAATCCCACCAAATCAAATCCCAGTGTAGGTTCTACTTGAACTTTTCGAGGCGTTTTACTTAAAGTAACTACCAAGACTACGAGTAGGCAGAAGTATCACACATTACATTACCTGACGTACGTACTATAGTGCCCATCTTGATTAGGGAGACGATAGGTGACGCAAAGGCTACCACAGCGACTAAGCTAAGCGGAGGTAATTGATGAACCATGATCTGTAAAACGTTGTCAAGGACGGCCAACATCATCACTACGGTCTAATTCCAAATTTTAAAGAACAACAAATTGTACCTCTGGAGTGTCCAGTCGTTTCATCCATGCATTTATTTCCCCAGTAGCTAAGACACTAGCTTAACTACACATGCTGGATAAGGGAGTAGCCATTTTGATTATCAAAGTTAGCTTTTACTCTACCAAATGCAGACGTAGTTGATGCCTAGGAAGAAACTGCTAGCAGATAAAAAGGGCACTGTTTTGACTAGCGCTAATTCCAATGAAAATTGACAGCAAACGGCAGCACTACAGCTGCTAACTGTGATTGAAGCAAGTAAAGCATCAACCGCCGATCCAAAAATTGCGCCAAAACGGCGCAAAAGCTAGGGATTCTCTCAAATACTTGTGTGGTTAACATCACGGTGAAGCTTTACTGTACGTTTTAGTTTTACCTCTGTAGGAGCCATGACAATATCTGCTGTTGAAGATAAAAAGCCATCCTGTACGACCATAACTTTCTCGGCAATGAATTTCAGTCTCTGAGTGGTAAACCACATCAAACCTCGGATCAATAAATTGGTCTCTGTGAAACCATCAAATTTATTGAACCTCCTCCCCAAAATACGCAAGCTACCCATTCAAACTGAATTGTTGTGTTCCTCATCTCTGATGCAGAAAGTTAAATGTAACGACAGGGGAGCAACATCCTTGCCTGTTCAAAGTTCTTCAGAGTGATTTCTAATTGACCTCTCATACAGATTATATGCCACAGTATTATTAAAGACAGAACTCGTCTTATCACTGGGTTATACTTTTATGGTGGGCGCGTTTACACCGTTCAGCTGTAGCACTTTCGATGCTTAGTTGCCATGCCACACGAAAGAGGCACGAGGGCTGGGATACTGCCAGGTCGCCCAAGCCTAGACAGGGGAAGTCGAGTGGCAGAGGTCGGGTTCGAACCACGGACCTGCCGGTCAGTGAATACGTGCTCTAACCACTTGGTCCATCTCGCGGGTTTGCCTCTGGTGTTTTCTTCTATTAAAGCGGCGTGATTGATCGGGCTGTTTTTGGAACGCACTTTTGTTAAATGAATTGTTGAGTGTAGAAACTAATTTCCATATCAGCGCTTAGACATCGCTCTTGGAAGTTGTACGTATCCTCCGACTTGGTGGCGCTCCAAGCAAGAAAGCGAGGGGGACTCATGGATGACAACTGGAGTTCCCCTGGTAGTACGATGGACATGGGTAGAGGCAGATGTCCAACTAGATCAATATTGAAAACAGTCAATCTTCAGATCCGGACGCTGGTCTCTATCAGTAGCTCTTTTCAACTGCAACCTTGACTAATGTACTAATGCCTGGTTTCTTGAAGCGAAACGGTTCACGGATACTGTAGCCTTCAAAAGCCTTGTGCATTTCCGCAGCCTGCAAAAGCCTTGTGCATTTCTGCAGCCTTTAAATCCCACCAAATCCCAGTCATATGTAGGTTCTACTTGAACTTTTCGAGGCGTTTTACTTAAAGTAACTACCAAGACTACGAGTAGGCAGAAGTATCACACATTGAATTACCTGACGTACGTACTATAGTGCCCATCTTGATTAGGGAGACGATAGGTGACGCAAAGGCTACCACAGCGACTAAGCTAAGCGGAGGTAATTGATGAACCATGATCTGTAAAACGTTGTCAAGGACGGCCAACATCATCACTACGGTCTAATTCCAAATTTTAAAGAACAACAAATTGTACCTCTGGAGTGTCCAGTCGTTTCATCCATGCATTTATTTCCCCAGTAGCTAAGACACTAGCTTAACTACACATGCTGGATAAGGGAGTAGCCATTTTGATTATCAAAGTTAGCTTTTACTCTACCAAATGCAGACGTAGTTGATGCCTAGGAAGAAACTGCTAGCAGATAAAAAGGGCACTGTTTTGACTAGCGCTAATTCCAATGAAAATTGACAGCAAACGGCAGCACTACAGCTGCTAACTGTGATTGAAGCAAGTAAAGCATCAACCGCCGATCCAAAAATTGCGCCAAAACGGCGCAAAAGCTAGGGATTCTCTCAAATACTTGTGTGGTTAACATCACGGTGAAGCTTTACTGTACGTTTTAGTTTTACCTCTGTAGGAGCCATGACAATATCTGCTGTTGAAGATAAAAAGCCATCCTGTACGACCATAACTTTCTCGGCAATGAATTTCAGTCTCTGAGTGGTAAACCACATCAAACCTCGGATCAATAAATTGGTCTCTGTGAAACCATCAAATTTATTGAACCTCCTCCCCAAAATACGCAAGCTACCCATTCAAACTGAATTGTTGTGTTCCTCATCTCTGATGCAGAAAGTTAAATGTAACGACAGGGGAGCAAACGGTGGAGAGCATGTTAGTTGACGAAGAAATTTAATACAACCTACGTTTTGTCATAGACAATGACTGCAGTTGCCCATTTAAAGATAGACCAAAAGCGCAATTGCTTCTTTTATGGCACAAAAACGAATAGGATTTTAAGCAAACAACCCCGAAAAAAGCGAGGACAGTGAGAAAAATAGGCTGATACGCTGTGGTATCATAGAAGTTTGCAGCGCTTAGAACGCTTGTATCTCA